AAGCAAAGAGAAACGATGCAGGAAATGTTGGGGATAAACAGTCCTGCTGGTAGTGGAAAACGTGGCGGACGCGGCGGCAATCGTGGCGGCGGTGGCGGCGGCAATCGGGGAGGTGGTGGGAACCGTAACAATCGCGGTGATGGCGGTGGCGGTGGTGGTGGAAGAGGTGGATTTGGTGGTGGTGGCGGAAGAGGTGGATTTGGCGGCGGTGACGGTGGAGGCGGTGGTGAACGGTTCCATAGAGGCCGCGGTGGTGGTGGTGGTGGTGGGAGAGGCGGGTTTGACGGTGACCCCCCCCCCCCCCCCCCCAAAAAAAAAAAAAAGGCCCAATACAAGCCGGATACAATAATGAAATATGAATATATGGAAAACCCGATTGAGAGAAAGAGAAAGGTGATAGCTTACAAGGCAATGCACAAAAGACCAACCACAATACAAATAGACAGCGGAAGAAGTAAAAAAAAAAAAAAAAAAGCGGAAATCACACGCTCCTCAAGACTTTACGCTTAATTGCCTCCCGTTTATAGCGTTCCGAGACGGGGTAAGCCTCAATTCGCCCATTGGCACCATAAATTTCACCCTCAATAAAAATCAGCGTTTCCAGCGGATACACAATAATCTCCGCAATTACAGTGCCGTCTTCATTCCGTGTAACCGTGGTACCGCCGATGGGCTCCACACTGCTCCCTTCATAAAAGGTATAGAACACATGGAACTCGTACTCTTTGGTGTCGTTGTAGAAGTCTCACTTCCCTTCGTCCATCTCTAGACGGAACAAAAGACCGTTTTCCTTTTTTAAACATCTTAATGATTCTCCGGATTCCTACTCTGGTGGGTCCCTTGTGCTCGAAGATGATGTCATCCCGTTCTGAGTAGACAGAGTAGCCGCGGCCCATTCCTCCCCCCAAGTCCTTCACACATTTTTTTTTTCTTTCTTTCTTCTTTGTGATTCTTCCTAATTTGGCTTCTTTGCAGAAATAATACGTTAATGTTTCATTGTTTTTTTTTTTGTGTGTGTTAGTTTGTTTCTTCCCGTATTCCTCGTTGACCCTCGTGTTACTTCAGTTGTGTTGTGTTCCTCTTGGCAGGTGAAAGAATTAAAGCGATAAGAAGAGAAAAGGTTAAAAAGACACGTAGGATCAACAGGGGCATGACATTTTCTTCGATTCCCTCGGTGTCCAGAGAGTCCTCAATGAGCACCATCTTTCTCCTCTCTCTCTCTCTCTCTTTCTCCCTCTCTCTTTCTC